CAGCAGCAGCATCAAGAGAGGTTGCCTGCGTCATCGCGTGTGTCCACGCCTGGTGGCGGCCGCACCGCAGCAAAGGCGAGAACTACCGCGACCCCAACAGCGACGTCGTCGGCCAAGAAGCCATCAAGGCCAGCGTCAGCAGCAAAGAAGCACGCCTCGACAGCACACGCAGCCAGCACGCCAACATCCTCCCCCGCGCATGCGCGAACAGCAACCCCTCCATCGTCTGGCAAGCCGCACGCCAAGCACACCAACACGAAACACAAGAAGAAGGGCAAGGCGAGCAAGTGGGCGGGTATTACGGCCATGCCTGCTGTCGACTACGCCGTTGGGGATTCCGTGGTGATTGAGAATGCGCAGGTGGGCCCATCTCGTGGGGTTGTTCGCTTCATGGGAATGGTTGAGTTTGGCGAGGGCCCCTGGGTTGGCGTGGAACTGCGATCGCGACCAGGCAAGCACGATGGCGAGAAGCAGGGTGTGCGTTACTTCACCTGCCCGCCCAGCACGGGCATGTTTGTGCGCCCAGACCGCGTCAAGAAGCTTCCTGCATGAGCTCGCACACGTATGCGTGTGATTGCGCGCGTTTGTGTGTGTGTGCGTGTGTGTGTGTGCGTGTGTGTGCGTGTGTCGTGTGTGTGAGTGATAGTGTTCTGTCCTTTTTTTAGGGAGTTTCTTCCACCACCCGACTTGGCTTTTCACCGCCTTCCGTGTTTTGTTGGCCCACAAGTCATTGCTGTGCCGTGTTGTGCCTTCGCTAGCTTGATCGTCTGTAACTGTCCGTGCTTTTCATGTGCTTCTCGTGTTCTTGCTCATGTGCTTTTCGTTTCCATTCCGGCGCCGCCGCCAACCCCTCTCTGCGTGCGAGTAACGTGCGTTCCGTTGCCTTATCGTCATCATTCATTGGCCTTGGTGCACGTGTTCCCCCTCCCACCCCATTGTTCCTTTGCATCTGTGTTAGTTCACGCTCTTCCATCATCAGTCGTCGTCAGTAAACGCTCCGCTTGAACACAACAACATATGTATGTGCATTTGGGGGGGGGGGACGAAAGGAGTACATGGACGCAGAAAGGACAGCACACATACAAATGCGTACAGGCAAGCATGAGCGACTGTCGTTTGGAGGAGGGCGAGGTGAGGCAAAACACATCTGAAGAATGGCGGCGATGAACACAAGGTCGCCTGAGTGCGGCTCCATGCGAAACGGAAAGATGCATGTGGTTCACAAAACAAGAGCAAGCAAAACAGCAGGACGAACAGCAGGCAGAGCAACGTATGGGCGCAATGAACATGCATGCGCAAGGAAGTCGGGAGGGGCTGCACTCACTGGTGCTGAAGTGAAGTCAGTGCATTGGGTGACATTTGAGCATCTCCGCTTAAGGCAAGCCGACATCAGCACAGCAGGCCATGGTGGCGTCACCCACAAACGCGTCGCGGCAACCTGGGGTGCGGCCGTTGTTCTTGGTGAGCTCGACAACGCCACGAATGTCGTTGGGGCAGAGCTCAGTGGACCACACGCTGTGACCACGAAGAAGGCGGCGGCAGCGCCCGCCAATGTCGAGGTTGAGGAGCTCCTCCTGCGAACACATGCGCGCGCCAATGCTCTCGCACAGGTAGTGGTTGTCGTACCATGTGCCCGTTGTGCACTGGGCCGACTCGAAGCGTGTCTGCACGCACACGTCGCCGTCGGCGGTCCAGCCGAGGTCAGCACACGTCTGCGCGCTTGTCTCGACAACACGACCGGTGTTCACAAGCGTGGGGCGGAAGAGGTTGGTGTAGAAGCGCATGTACACGACCTGCCAGCGGCTGAAGCGGTCAAGACACTCATCGTACGAGTAGTCCCTGTGGTGAGGGTGAGGATATGAGGGAGAAGGAGGGAAGGCATGCGATGATGGGGATGGAGGAGAAGAGAGAGAGAGAGGAGGAAGGGGGTGGGGGTGGGAGGAGGGGAGGGTGGGTTGTATGCACATGTGGACGGGCGATTCGGCGAAAAGGTGAAGGAAGCCAATCCATGCAAAGACACAGGCAAGCAAGTAAGGAGACGCGCAAGCGTGGATGCATGCATGCAAGCAAGCAAGCAGCGTACATAAAGTTGTGGATCTGCGAGCGGAGTATGATCGTCGAGGTAGGGGTAGGATAGAGGGCATTGGAAAGCGGGGGGGGGGGAGGTGAGTTGGAAGCGAAATTAGAGTGGCGATGGAACCAAAACGCAAGGCAAGTTCACACGCACGCAGACACACACACACACACACACACACACACAGACAGACAGACACACACACACACACACAGTGTCGCCGTCTTTCAAACAACGTCGTGTTCCTCATCCAGCGTGCTCGCCCGCACCTTCTCCCCCCTCCCCGTCTCATTCCCACTTTCACACTCACGTTGTCGTAGCCACGGCGGTGTGGGCACGTGTCAGCATCCACCTCTGCCGGACAGCCGTTCGTGGGATACTTCTGGGCAGGGGTGTCCCGAATGAAATCGCCGCCACGACGTGAGCAGGTGGTTCCTTGGAAGGTGTGCAGCAGGCCAAAGTAGTGCCCAGCCTCGTGCACAAGCGTGTAGCCTGCGTTGTAAGAGGTGATGAAGCCGCCGGGCAGCGTGCCGTAGTGCAGGTTGATGGCGTGCATGGGGGAGTCCTCGGGGGCATCCCAGGGGAACACGGCGACGCCGAGGAAGTAGTCAGAGGGGCACACCAGCACGTGGAGGGCCTCTGAAGCGTCGTCGATGAGCTCGTAGCGGGGGATGGTGTACAGGCTGGCGTCGCCGCAGTAGTAGGCCAGCAACGTGTTGTTGATGTAGGTGATGTTGGCGGTGTAAAAGCGCATGCCGGTGTCCTTTGATGCATCGACGCCCTGGCCCGCAAAGCGCTCGTTCATGACGGTGGTCTGGTTCTCAAGCTGGCCCTCGGGGACCCAGCCCGTGCCGTCCTCCTCGAAGATGACAATGTAGTTGATGGGGATGTCGATCTCTTCGATGGTGTACGTGTCGAGGTAGTCTGCGACTTGGCGACGCATGGTCTCGTGGCCCTCGCCCTTGAACAGCGCCTCGCGCTTTGCGGCATCTGCCTGAGCCTCCGCGGCCTTGGCGTCAGCCTTGTCGGTGGCGACGGGCGGCATGGCACAGCGCGCGGGCTCAGCAGCCACGGCGGTGTGCAGCAGGCTGCTCGTGCAGCCAAGAGCCACAGCAAACAGCAGCAGCAGCATCTTTGCACTCGTCGATCGGCGGCGCATGGTGGTGGGCTTGGTTGGTGGCTCTTGTAGAGGTGTTTTGTGTTTTGCGTGTTTTGCGAGCTTGGGATGGTGCTTTGCGATCGCCAACCTGTGTGTTGTGAAAATGGACGCAGCGTGGATGCAAGAAGAGGCAGAAGAGGCGGCTTGCCTTTTGTTTTGTTTTTTGTTTTGCTTCTCTTGCTTGCTTGAACTCGTGCGTGCTCTTTGCTTTGGTTGCCGTGGAAGGGGCGGTGTCACAATAAAAAAGCAGGACCGCTTCATGTCACGCTCGCTTGTCAGTAAAGCAAAGCATTCTGCTTGCTGCTTAATCGCTTGCTTGCTCGCTGACTTGCAGTCTCGCTTGCTTGCGTATGTCTGTTTTGTCCCACTTACTGACATGGGTCGCCGTGCAAAGCGTGCCTGCATGCAACCACCAACGGCGTGGTGGGCAAACCCGGGTTTGCCGCCTGCTTTGGTAGTGGGCAAAACCAAGTTGTGACAATTGCATGAAATCATTCACAAACAATCCTGGGTGAACAAGCGCGCTCAAACAACAGACAGGAGATGGCGTCGCAGGCGGTGAGCGCATCGCAGATGGCGATGGTCGGCGATGCGGATGATGATGGGGTGGTGAAGCCACACCAGCCGTTCCTACAAGCCCTGCTGTTCAACAGCCCCATGCCTGAAAAAGATGTCCAACGGATCTTCCAACAGGCTCATGCTCAACACCAGCCTGCAGAAGGCGAGGAAGGTGAGCATGGATGGAGGAGAGAGTGTGTGTCAGTGCGTGTCAGTGTGTGCATGTGTGTGTATGTGTGTGTATGTGTGTGTATGTGTGTGTATGTGTGTCAGTGTGTCAGTGTGTGTATCAGTGCGTATGTGTGTTTGGCATTAGCGTGGTCGAAATGATGTGGAATGAAGCACAGGCATGTACACCGAGCTCACTGTCAGCACACGCGCACACACGCACGCACGCACACACACGCACACACGCACACACACGCACACACACACACATACAAACACACACATACACACACACACACACACACACACACACACACAGCACCTGACCTTCGGGAGTTTGTACAGCAGTGCAATGACAAGTTGAAGCAAGTCGCAATGACCATCAACCATTGCACAGACGAAGTCACCGGTGATACCGTGTATGCGCTCGTCAATACGCGCGTGGACCTTGCCGCTCGGACCTACGCAACAAGGCTGGACAAGTTCACGCTTTCCCTCTTCAACGCTTTGGTATCAGTTTCGCGCGCGAGTGAGTGAGTGAGTGAGTGAGTGAGTGAGTGAGTGTGTGTGTGTGTGTGTGTGTTGTGTTGGGGTTTAAAGGTGCGTGAAGGATGCAGTCACCTTTGGCTGGAAGTTCGATTGGTGTTCAGCGCACTTGTGTGTGGGCATGTGTGTGTGCATGTGTCTGTCTGTCTGTCTGTCTGTCTGTCTGTCTGTCTGTCTGTCTCTCCCTTCTCTCTCTCTCTCTCTCTCTCTCTCTCTCTCTCTCTCTCTCTCTCTCTCTCTCTCTCTCTCTCTCTCTCTCTCTCTCTGTCTCTCCCTCCTCTCTTCCTGTGTCGGTGCACGTTTTGCTGCCGAGTTTCACCGTTTCGCCGCCGCACGTGGGACTGGTGCAGGTGGAGGAGATTCTGAGCGGAGATGGCTTTGTCAATGACAAGGACGCGTGGCAGCTGGGGCGACGCCTTGAGCTCGGCACAGCCAAGTCGGCCAAGCAAGTCGAGGAAGCATGCAACCTGCTCATGGCAGAGGGCTGGCTCGATG